AAGGCTTGCGTTTCATTTTTTTCACATTAAAATTCGCCAGATTGGTTACGTTGCCTTTGAGACCCTATGGTAGCCCAAGAATAAAAATTACCCCTATGATGGCATACCATTTGCAATAGTAGACAACCCAAGGTATTGCAAACGGGGTATGTCCAGTCTTTTTTAGTAGCCACTTAGTCACAACCACTGGCCAAAATTGGCGTTTTTTGCATTTTTCACACAAACAAATACTAACGCTAACTTTGGCCAGTGTTTGTGACCAAATGGCTACCAAAAAAGACTGGACATACCCCATTTGCAATACCTTGGTTGTCTACTTTTGCAAATGGTATGCCATTATGGGTGTAAATTTCATTCCTGGGCTACTATAAAGTCCCAAAGGCAATGTAACCAATCTGGCGAATTTAAATTTCAAATGTAACATGCTATATTTGACCCTGTAACTTCCCAAAACGCCATAAAACTTGTACATAGGGGGTACTGTTTTACACGTGAGACTTTGCTGAATACAAATATGTGTATTTTATTGCAGTAAAAGCAAACAGTATTAAGACATTGACAGTTAAAATGTCATGTAGAACTAAAAAAATCAAAGAAAATCTTATTTTCTCCCATTTTTTTCATATTAAATTATGTTTCATAGCTAAATATTTGATATTAAATGAAAGCCCTCTTTCCCCTGAATAAAATGATATATAATAAGGGTGGGTGCATTTAATATGAAAGAGGTGAATTACGGTTGGACAGACATGTAGCGCAAATGCCAGGTTTTGTTTACATTTTGTTTCGTTCACAACGTGTACATTTGGCTCCATCCTTAAGGGGTTAATCTGTGTTTGCTGTATACAACAGCTTGAAACACAATATAGGAAAAGATGCAAAACCTGTGAACCACTCATAGACAGCTGTTTCATTGTTAATGCAACTCATCAGCATGAGGTTGGTTACTGGTTTGCTTATTTAGGCTTGGTAGTGGTTGGGAAGCAAAATCCAAATAGGTTATGGTGGGGAAAAATTGTGATTGAAAACCCCTTCCACCTGAAGTCTGTGGATAGTTAATACAATGTTAAACAAAAATCTGCACACCAGTCAAGCCAAAAGACTTGCTTTTCCCACAGAAATCCCAAAACTGCAGCGATGTTACAACCGCAAAGGATTCTTGGTGGGCATATGCAAATTAGTTTAACAAAGAATCACATTTTTGCCTCATTCCATTTTAAACATGGATTCATTTTAATCTGTGTTTGCTGTATACAACAGCTTGAAACACAATTTAGGAAAAGATGCAAAACCAGTGAACCACTTATGGACAGCTGTTTCGTTGTTAATGCAACTCATCAGCATGAGGTTGGTTACTGGTTTGCTTATCAAGGCTTGGTTGTGCTTGGGAAGCAAAATGCAAATATTGTATTAACTATCCACAGACTTCAGGTGGAAGGCGTTTTCAATCACAATTTTTCCCCACCATAACCTATTTGGATTTTGATATATATATATATATATATGTATCTGTATATATATATATATATATATATATATATATATATATATATATATATATATAAAAAGGCGTAGCCTGTAATTGTGGGAGGGGTTACCTGGCTATATAAGATCCTTATGAGAACCGTCACCGCTTGGTTCATTCAGAACCTCTGACTTCCAGTTCTTGTCCACTCACCTCTACCTCGCTCCACGCTGATCCAGTTACCTGCCTTACCTAACTCTGACTAGGCCTGACCGCCAGTTCCGCCAGTTCCGGTAACCCGACAGCAGATCCAAACCGCTGACCTCTTGCCTCCCCATGACTTCCGGGGTACAGCTCTGGGTCCCGTTCATTTACATGAACCTTGGATTCACCCGAAAGGGTAAAAACCAAAGAAAAAGTTACCTTAATCCCTATGTATATTTAAACAAATGGAGGTTGTAACGGACCGTTTTGCACACGAGGTTAAAAACCGTTTAGGCGATATTCCCCTTTTCAGATGCACAGACAGCTACTGCAATCACCAATCTCCTGAACTGCAAACACATGAATTCACCAATCTCCCGAACTGCAAACACATGAATTCACCAATCTCCCGAACTGGAACCAGGGGAATGTTCCAAACTCCCGAACAGGAAACACACGAATGCTGTAAACAGCCGAACAGGAAAAACCATACGAACAGTTTACACTCCTGGCAGTCGCACAGTAACAGCAGACAATCCAATTCTCCCCAAGAACGAGACGACACTTCGTTTGAGGGTCAAGCAGAACTGATTTACTGGGGGTACCTGCCCGGCTTTTATGCAGGTCTTCCACCTGGTGGACACTCTCCTAGGGGACCAGATGGAAGACTGGGAAACATATTGGCCATTAACCAATCACAGATGTACACCTTTAAACACACCCATAATGCATCACAGTCCCTCCTCTCTATCCTGGAGAAAATTGATTTATCTCCCAGGACAGAGGCAAAACTCCACTGAGCACATGTTACTAAAAAGACTCAAAAATACCCACTGTTGCAAATAATTAACAAAACACATACATTCTACATATCACCAGATAGCTTAGATCTGAGCGCACATAATTACCGAATGGCGCTCAGATCACATACATACAGTTCCATTGCCATGGAGCCAAAGTCTTTCCCATAGTCTTTTCGTTACACGAATGGGCTCCATGACTTAGCTATCTGGGGTGATGCTGTTCATCCGGTTAAACTACTATATGAACAGTCATTCGGTTCCACTACCGAATGCAGAGGTAAGGAGGCTGGCAGCTCAGCGGTGTTCACGCAAATAAGTGTCCGTTTTCAGTTCCATAGTTTGGGCGCTGAACACCGCTGGCCGTTCGGGAGTTAAGATGGCCGCTGCCACGTGTTCGGCAAACAAACAAAGGCCACCCAGCGTTCGTCAATTAAGCTGCGGTTAACCGCAGCTTCTGGGCGGTCAATTGACGGCACACTCCAGTTGCCAGGTGGTCCATCGTTCGGTACTTTGTTCGGTAGATTGAATCTACCGAACACGCTGGCAGAAAGGCACGAACAAGCCTTTTAGCAGGGAAAATAAAAGCATTTAACTGCCAGGCCATAATCTAAAGGGAGCAGGCGAGCAACCAGGCTTCTCCAGTGCACAGCTGGATTGGTTCCGCCACAGAGGTCATTTAGTTACTCCAATGGCTACTGGAGGGAATGCCCACCGGCTAACGTCAAGGCAGACCCCCTGTCGGAGTAACTGAATGACCTTCATTTGTTTAAATATACACAGGGATTAAGCAGAGAGCGCAGGTAACTTTTTTTTTGGTTTTCACTATATGTATTGGAGCTGATGTGTACTGTGTTCGTTGCTGCAGCCCAGGAGTGATGGGAGTGAGCGCAGGACTTATCTTTTTGTATTTGTATTCACCCGAAAGGGTATCCATTCACACGTCATTCGTGCCAAACACACAGAATTCAACCATAAGAAATTGTCCGTTCAGGAACTCACACCACGCATGCGTACATACCATTCTTGTACTAACCTTCGAACGCTGGTCAGCAAGCCGGTCGTTAGACAAACAAACAGGTTATGCCAATCACTCTCTATACACCCGGTCGCTCACTATGACCCCCTAGCGGCTAAATTATATTATGATAGAAAAAAAATGGAAATATATTACTACTCTTCATGTCTTCATGTAAACGGTATTGTACCAATTCTCTGGTTCTCAGCAATACGCATGTCACTCATATTATGTGTGCATTCAGGACTCCGTTAGCTTCCCTATACGGAGAAGCAATGTCCGACAAATAAAGTAATTGCACTATGATTAGGAAATTATCCATCTGTTCTGTTACTTAAACTATGTGAAATTTATGTCTCGCAGTTACTAAACTCTCTAATTGGCTGTCCCCCACGCTAGGTATTTACCAAAACCACATTACTCCTCGCGGTCGCACTTGACTGCCTCAGTTCACCATATACCCATTAAAGAAGTATTTCTGTTTCCTTTCATACGGTACGTATATTCATGTGCAATTATTTTCATTTTGCTTGATTATTTTATGCATACCCCATGTCTCATCGGTCCCACAATATTCCCTAAATACGGTTAATTCCAGTTCAACAACATGGCTACTACTGGTCAACGACATCCATTTCATTTGCCACTCTCTGAAGTAAATTGCATTTAATTTGCCACTCTTAACGTTTCCTCTTGTGTTTTGCAATTTCGAAGTAAACCGCTAAACAACTCTAGCATACTCAAGCTTATCCCTCACCATAATGTCCAATTCCCCCCTTTGTATTTACTTGGCACACATGAGAGTGACCACATGTTCTCTCACATTCTCACCCTTATTCTATTTTTCAGGCCTTTGTTACCATCACTACTCTCCCCCAGAACTTTGGGGAATCATTGGACTCTTAACCCCAGCATGTTACAGGTATATCATAGATCACCTCATCTCTTGTCTTCATACCTGACCATATTATATAGAGGATAACTCTAGTTTTATCCTCAGATAACCACTACGAGCAATTCCTGACAGAATCACTGTCATCGATTCCACAGGTGAGTTTTCCTCACAATAAAAAAAAAAAAAAAAGTTAGGCACAACCTAGACTTAACCATCCTCAATTTTACATCCTACTCCCAATATCCCAACAAACTAGGGTTTGTCAACTGGTGGTTATTAATAGCATTTGCCCCTAGCATACTTTAATTAAACTACTCCTGTGAAGCCAACACCCATCCTCAACAGAAGTATATGCCCCTCGGTCCAACGCATAGCTAGAGCCTCACATTAACCACTGTCGATTACTAGTCAGGGCCTCACCAGTCACACCCAATTATATTATGTCTTGTTACAGTCACCGAGAGGCCAACAATCCCACTCGCCCACTTGGCACTCCTCATAGATAGAGCCTCTCTTGCCACTTGACACTAGCAGGGCTACATCTTCCTTGTAGGTCAGGTAATGACACAGGAACCATTGCTCACAACTAAAGGCCATATCCATGTTTTCATTCTTAGTATGTCTCAAACTCCTGAACAAGAAGAACTGGCTATACCCGAAACCCCAGCCTGGGTCCTGTTCCCAGCTACAGCTCGCAAGGCCGAACTATATAAATATTTATTTCAAACATGTGTACTCCCCAGCCAGGAGTTGTCCGACAACTATACCGAGATCAAGGGTTTGATGTCATCTCTCCTGGCCTCTAAAAATACGATCAGCGTTAGGCTGGTCAAATTGGAATCCCCTCAGACATCGTCAGTCATCTCACCCATACTGAACCCCACTCTGGCTCCCCCCCACGGTAATGACACCTCAATAAACCCAATACCAAGCATTTCCATTCACATCATCAGACTTGGCCACTTCGTACCCCCGACCATTCGTAAAGACAGGATAGATATATACAAAAATGAGGATGCAGCTGTGGGTCTACAAAAGACAAAATAAAACAATAGTGCAACACTGTATAATAAAGTATAAGTGCACTGTGTAGAATATAACTCTCAAGATTAATGAATATTTTGTGCCCAAGGATGCCTCCCCTGATGTAGATGGGGGGCGTTAACACTGCTCCAAGTAAGGTGAAATCTGACTCAGGATGTGGAGTAAAAAAAGGTTTCTTCTTTATTTAAAAGAATTAAAAGTATAAGTACACAAATAACCTGTTATGGTACCAGGTCCTACGTGTTTCATCCAAATGGACTTCCTCGGGGACCTCCTGGTATGCAGATACATAAAAGCAATAAAACAGATACAAATGAACAATAAAAACCCTCCCCCCTGAGTCCTTTCTTTTATACTGAAGGTTGTTCCTCCTCATTGGTGCTTCATTGGGCGTCTGTTCTTTGATGCAGCTGTCTGTAATTGAATTTCCCGGGTTTCGCAGATTTCATGATCTCATTTCCAGTTTTTGGCAGTTGCGCGAAGTCACTTCCGGTTCGGTGATTCATTCCTATGATCAAAGTGGGCGTGTGCGTTTCACCACAGGGAAACGTGCGTTCCACTTGTAGCTTCCTGTGATGAATAGATTAATGATGGGAGCCCCCCAAAAAATCAAGAGAATCAAAGTTATATGAAAATGAAAAACGGAACAATAATTTTGCAAAGTGCAGGATCTTTTTGCAAACAGAAAAACACAGAGATCTTGCTCATTAAGGTTTATATGTATATATGGAAGGTTAAGTGTTTTGCCCATGTGGCTAATTTACCAATAATTATGATTTCTAGGCATCTAAATAATTAATGGCAATATTGTTATGTGTTGAGTGCCTGTCACTTCCATGTAAAAGGATTATGAGACCTCTAGATTTTTTTGGTTGCTTTTGGTACATACATCTTTAGTTTGAAATATGGGAATCCCACTTCCTAACATCTGAACCAACGAAAATAACATTTGTAAAGACATCCTGGAAGGCAAGAACATAAACCTAGTCTCTTTGCTGATTGCTTCCCAGGATGTGGTTGAGAACAAGGCATACTGCTATGGCAATCTTTCAGTTGTGTTAAAAGCCAGAGACCCCAGACTCAACTGAAAGCTTATCATACCCAAATTTGTCCTCGCTTTCTGTCTTTATTGTGACGTAATCTGTTCCACTTCCCCTCACCATTGTCGAGGAGCTGGATTTGTACTTGCACAAGTTGGTGGACCTAGGGCACAAGTATTAGGGGATTCTCTTTTTATGATTATCATAAATATATTTCGACTAAAGCAGCAGCATCCCTCCCCCAGTTAAACACCCATACTAACTGGAGCAAGCTTGACACAGAACTTTTCTGTCACCATTTTGCTGGTCAAAAACCACCATCCTGTGACTTGTGCGCCTCCATCTCACACTCCACCAACTTGTGCCCAGTCGATCCTAGTCTTCCTACCACTAGTTATGCTTCCTTCGGTTCTTCCACTGCAGAACACAGAGGACTGAAAGACAAGTTGGGTAGACCCATAGTATACATTGGGAAAGCTTAAATCTGCAACAACTTTAATTCTGGCAGTTGTGGATTTAGCTCATGCAGATTGTTGCACGTCTGCTCAATTTGTTTCAGGGCACACACAAAATCTATGCCTCCTAATCGTCTGTACTAGTGATGTACCGAACGGTTCGCCAGCGAACGGTTCCTGGCGAACATAGCATGTTCGCGTTCGCCACGGCGGGCGAACATATGTGCGGTTCGACCCGCCCCCTATTCGTCATCATTGAGTAAACTTTGACCCTGTACCTCACAGTCAGCAGACACATTCCAGCCAATTAGCAGCTCACCCTCCCTAGCAGACCCTCCCACCTCCTGGAAGGCATCCATTTTAGATTCATTCTCAAGCTGCATGCTTAGTAAGAGGAGGGAAAGTGTAGCTGCTGTTCATAAGATAGGGAAAAGCATAGCTAGGTTAGGGATAAGGGTATGCTTTTTTAAATTTATTTTTTCTATGTAATGTAAATGCACTTAGTTGTCTGCCACTGCTGCCAGCTTCTGTGTCAGGCTCACAGTGCATACTGTGCAGATTTCCCCAGTCAGTGCCACCACTTACATCTGGTGTCACAATAGCTTGGATTTAAAAACAAAAAACTTTTTTCACTGTTATAGATTGAATAGCAGTCAGTTGTCTGCCACTGCTGCCAGCTTCTGTGTCAAGCTCACAGTGCATACTGTGCCCATTTCCCCAGTCAGTGCCACCAATTACATCTGGTGTCACAATAGCTTGGATTTAAAAACAAAAAACTCTTTTCACTGTTATAGATTGAATAGCAGTCAGTGTTGTCTGCCACTGCTGCCAGCTTCTGTGTCAAGCTCACAGTGCATACTGTGCCCATTTCCCCAGTCAGTGCCACCAATTACATCTGGTGTCACAATAGCTTGGTTAAAACAAAAACTTTTTTCACTGTTATAAGAT